AGCCTCGATCTCTTCGACAAGTTCTGGACGATCTATTTCCGATTGTAACTCCGGCCTCGTGGTCAACGGCTCCGTAATTTCAGTTTCTGTCACTTCCATCTCTTCTTCTGTTGATGGCTCTTCCGTTTCAGATGGTAGAACCTTTAGTTCTACTGGGCGATATTTAGGTTTAGGCAAAGGTTCCGTGGGCGCGACTTCCTTTACGTCTGTTCTAACTAAACATCTTAAATTCCTCTCTGAAAGAAATGTTCATTCTTTTAAACGAGATTTTACAGTTACCTTGCCCCATGTAACCTTCCTCATCCTTTTCGTCTTCCTCATCTTCGTCAATTTCCAAGTCACCTAATGCAAATTAAAACTATCTAATTAAATAATTAATTAAGATTTCAAAGCATCGATAGAAATTGCGATAACTAGTTTTTAAACAGTTAGCTTGTTATTTTGAGAGAGCGGCAAGCCCACGTTCGTATCGCGATACCTTCTTTTATTAAATACGTCTTTCTCATTTGTTCTTTGAAAGCAAGCTGAAGCTTCGTGCTCGCGGCCATCATTTCCTCCCGCGTGCCATACTGCGCGGGGATATCGTCGCGGGAAGTGACCTTTTCGAAAATCTTGCGGTGCACCGTATCGAGGACAGCTTCGGTGACCATTGTCTTCGTCGTCTCCAATTGTTGCACGTCGTAGCGACGTTTTTTCGCGTGATACCTTTTGTAAGCTCTCTGCGAGAGAAGAGAGAGAAATTTTAGAGGGTGAAGAAAGAAAGGAAGAGGAAGGGAGTGTTAACTTGGATAATCGAGGCAGCCTCGTTGGCCTTTTCCAACGTTAAACCGGAGTCGTTGTACATCATCTCCATCCAAGCAACTGCTTGAACAGCCTCCACAGGCTCCAGTATACGTTCATCCTTCTTCAGGAGCTCCTCTCTCGCTTCCGCTGCGAACATCGAATTGTTCAACTTGTACGAAATTTAAATTCGGATTTGTGACATTGTGCAATCACGCGATCTTACGAGGATCGATCTTCTGATTTCTTCTGGCGTAGTATCCGCGATAAGCGAACTGTGTGTGTGATGACAGTCAAACGATTGGTGAACCGATAACTAGTTTTAGGTTTTAAAAGAGGAAACATTACTTTCACGAGTCTTGCGGCTTTGGAGATTTCCGCTTGCGTTGCACCGGCCTTTCTCAAGATAGCCAACGTGTTCATTACTGCTCTTTGCCATTGAATCTTCCCTTCAGCTTCGCTCGAGACCATCCTCTCGTAATGACCCCGAAATGCAGCCTGGCTTTCATTTATCTTGTTTTGAAAATGTTTTTAATTAAAAAAAAAAAAAAAAGAAAAACACTGACTTGTATCACTGTGGCAGCACGCTCCGCATCTGCGCGTGTAGCCCCTGTAGCTTCTAGAATGTCTCGAATCGATATCGTTGATCTCTCGTCACAAGTTGGATCTGCATTTAGATCAATTTATAATTGCAAGAATATTATTTTAAGATTTCTCGTTTCGCTAACCCTCTTCACGAACGTATAATTTTTTCAAGTTCATCGTCAATGTTTAGCTTGTTTTTAATCGTTCGTACTAATTACCTTAATCAAGAATCGTAAAAAAAAAAAAAAAAACGATCCACGGGAATCACTAAATCACGGTAACCAACGAGCCACACGTATTTTCTCATTCCGCTTCGTTTTATAACCTTCGAACGAGCCTGCGTTAAAGCAGCTCGCTTGAAATAATAATAACGTGAACTAGCTTTCTTTTACGATTCTTTTACCTTCGCATATCTGTATCGGTTGCGTGTCAATCGCGTCCAGGTACTCGCGGAATGCTCTCTGAAAATGGAGGAGGGGAAAGAAAAAGAGGGAAAGAAAGATGTGGAAATATTAGACGCGGATAGTCCGTTCAGCACGCGACAATAAAATTTACTTGGATCCGCGGGGCCGCGACCGTGATCTGCTCCAAAGAGAAACCGGCCCGATAAAGTATGCTCAGGATTGCTTGGCTCTCCAGCAGAATGTTGTTCACGACTTTGACCGCGACTGTTGAAAAGCAAATTAGAACTTTCAACTTTTTGTGTGGCCACTCGTGTCGTGAACATTAAAAGAACAAAAAGAGGCAAAAGTAAAAGGATTAGTAGTAAATAAAAGAAAAAAAGAAATATATCGAGGAAGAATTTAAGGAGAAGCTTTCGTGCCTTTCGTGTTCTCGCGCGTGATCAGAAGCGTGTCCACGTATTCGGCGATAAATGGGACTAGATCAGCTGGCTGAGAGCGAAGAACCTGTTCCCAGTATTATTAAGTTAACAACAACAGATATTAACAGTTAATATTAACAGAAATCATGGATAGGAAAATCGAGGAAAATTGATCGAATTCACGAGTTTTATGCTCGTCGATAAGTTAACCTAATTAAATCTAGCAAACTACTTACTTCTCGCGAGATATCGGTACACAGTTCTCTCAGCCCTTCTGGTACCTTGTATATGTGCTTAGCACCGTGTGTCTGAAGCACCACGTTCATTTTCCAAATCTGTCCGCACGACTAAACGCAATAACTAGAACCGTGATCTCTACGAAAAAAAGAAAAACTAGAATTCTCTATTATTTAGGACGCTTTAAACGTCCTCGTGTTCGATTTATCAGTCGGTTGTGCGGTACGAAATAAAATTCTCTTTTGTTTTGCAAATCACATGACGACCGCATTCAATTCGTGCGTTAATATCCGTCCACTAGATTTGTTAAAAAGAGGAAAAAAAAAAAATTATTCGATGTTTAGATTGGTTCGACGCTTCTGAATGCGCGCGCGGTGCTCGATGATTTTTTAAAAATTTCCATGACAAATTGAATTGTTCTCCATAGTTCGTTAGTGTTTGCTATTGCATTAATACATTTATTTTTTATTCATTTTTTTTTTTTTT